AGGTGGGAGCTAAGCGCTGAAGCCTCCTAGAGGCAGGCTCGAGTACCATCCACAGAATTTCCTTCAGGTCCTTTAGGGTGTTACCAAAGTCCTCTGGAAGCTTGCTGTTTCTCTCCCAGAGAAACCCTGCTGCTTCTGCAGAAGACACCAAAAGGGCCAGATTCCCTATTATCTCAATAGGAAGCTTTAAGGTCATGTGAATGTGTCTCCCCCCTTCTGTGTTCTGGATCACATCTGTGGTAACTGGGCTATACATATCATTTGCTCCTTTCTCCTTGCCTCCTGTAACTGCCAGGGAGGGTTCTCTGGGGCAAGACCTCAGCTTCTGGCCAAGGCAGGTAAGTTCAGCCAGCAGGAACCAGGATTCACTTGAAGAGTCTCTACCGTCCTCCACTACAGCAGAAAGTATCTGGGATGTTCAGAGCAGGTCAGGCTGAGGTTTTGGCAAAGGAAGCTGGGAGTTGCAACTCCCCCACTCCAACCCAGAGACGGTACCATCTTTAGTCTATGACGAAGTCTCTGCCTCCACAGAGCTGATGGAGCAGTTGCAGAGTCACTGTTCCAGAACACAGATCCGGCCACAGCATTAGCCAGCCCTGTACACTTTGGTGGATTCCCACTGCCTATGGGAAGAAGCCCACTCTCTCCAAGCAGGCCCCTCACTGCCTGCTCCATACCATATCCAGCCTCATCGTCCACTGAACATCTGTCACTCACTCCATTCTAGACACCATCTCAGCCAGGACTGCATGTCCTCCAGAAAGCCCTTCCTGATCTCCTGTCTTGGTAGGCCTATGTCCTGTTTCAAGGGCACGGATTTACCTGTTGGTCTTTCTGAAAGACTGGGTGCCCCTGTGAACAGATGATGGTTGATTCAGTTCTAGTCTAGAGACATGCCCCATGCCTGTCTATCCGAAGTGACCGATAACTAACTGCAGCCCCTTCTCTCTTCTGAGCCTTTGTTTCCAAGTCCACAAATAAGAGTCTAGACTAGATCAGAGCTGGCCAACACCAAGGACATGCACTTCCATTTACAGGTCCATGTAGGTTGGCGTTGTCCATCAGTATCTGTTGAATCTAAACACAGCTGCAGATTCATCATCAACACAGAGCTCTGGACAGAAAAGCCCATCAGAGCTGGTATTTGAATGGAAACACCACTGCTATTTTTAAAAGAAGATGGCTATGGCTTCTCTCTCAAAACAAGACATCTATCTCCTTTTCTCTTGTCCTCTCTTCTTCCTTTAGCATTTGGAATTCTACTACTGTCAGAATTCCTGATCAGGAATCAGGGAGCCTGAGTTTAGACTCTGACAGTAGCCCTTAGTTATTAACTTTGGGCAGGTTGTTCACCTTCTGAGTCTCACGTTTCCAATCTGCTATGACTCCTCTGCAGAAACACTGGGAGCAAAATGAAAGTAGGCTGCATGTTCAAAAACATTACATCACTGAAAACAATGAATGGAATTTTAAAACAAAAACAGCCTGCATCCAATGCTTCACTCTGTGACCTCTGCCCTCCCTCAGTTTCCTAGCTCTGAACCTAGAAATTCTCATTGGACAGTGCCCCCACACTTAGGGCCAAAGAGCTGAAGACCCAATCAGACCAGTGGGACGGACCAAGGCCACATCGTGTTTGCCAGATATGCAGCCCAACTGAGTTAAATTGCGTAGAAAAAATTGCCACTGTGTGATTATGTAAAATCCATCTGCATCCAGAGCAAAAAATCAAAGTTGGAAGGGTCCTCAGATGCTACTGCTCCAGCCTTCTTCACCTATTGGGGATGAAACAGGTTCAGAGATGGGGAGTAACTTGCCCAAGGTCACTCAGCAAGGGAGCAGCCAAGCAGGGGAACTAGAAGAGGTGTCTGTTTCCAATCCTGACCACTGTCCCTGGACACTCTAACCTGGCTTTCTGTTAGACCCTTTCCTACCCAGAACGCTGGATCTAGAGTGCTTTGGGGCTGACAAGGCCAGCCTGGTGAGGTGAGCAGTACAAATAAACTCAGTTCCAACAAGTACCTGCCAGGTGCTGAGGGCACACTGAATTAAAATACACTTGGCTAAATTCTACCAGGACCCCGAGAACCCCACAATATTCCCCAATAATGAGGTGTGCTCAGGTTGGTTCCTAAGTCATCACCCTGCCAGCCCTCAACTTACTACTAGACACGTCTCCTGCCACATGAACAGACAGGTACTATCTACCTCAACAACACAGACACCAAATAAGAAAAGGCAAATAGAGCTTAGTGGATGGCTGAACCTTCTCACCCAGCCTGGCAGTCCATGAGTTGCTTTCTGAGGGGTCTGGATGGGAGTGGCCAGCTGTTCTTTCCTTTCTACTCTGGAAGCCCCCCTGGCTTCTAGATTTAGAACAGGGAATGACATCCTGACTTAAATCAGGCAGTCACCTTGGGAACAGGATCTGGTCAAAGCTGGACCAGCCATCCCGGGATGACTCCTTGGCACGAAGCCCTTTGTGCAGGAGAGCTGCCTGCTCAGGCCACATCCAAAGAGGGGAAGAAGTGCAAGGGTTGGCAATAGCTAAAGTCCTCGATGCCATCTCTATTTCCCTCCTACTATCAGAGTGGCCTCCTGCAAGATGACCATGGGGCAGGGCTGGCAATCAATAGCTAATATTCCTGTTGTAAGCTGGCCCGCTCCGGAAGTGAGCAGCCACTCGCTCCTTCCAGACCTGAGTGGTTCTGCACCACGGCTGAGAAGGCACAGGTTGAGTGCCTCGCCTGCCCTTCCCTCTCAATCTGACTGATGGGAAAATGATGCCCAGAAAAAGTGGGGCGGGGGGAGTGGCCAGAGTCACCAAGCAAACAGCACACCCAGGGCACATGACCCTTACTGGATGACCCAGCTGGCTCTTGATGGATCGCCCTGACGGGAAAATAGAGATGACCTCAAGTCTATGGTTGTTATTAGCAAGTGCTGTTGAGTTGGTTCCAAATCATAGTGACCCTGTATAGGGTTTCTGAGGTGCGAATGTTGGGTTTGAACCACCCACTTTGAGGTTAGCAGTTCAGGACTACAATCCAAGTCTAAAAGGCCCAAAAGTTACCTTGGTTTGATGATGGCTGGTGGTAACTAAATAAGGACAGAAATCCATCTGGGCGTTCTGACCACACACCCTAGAACGTCACAGGGGAGGGCCCAAGAAGAATGTCTGGAATTAGTCCCTAACCATGGACAATTACAGCAAAGCAGGAAGTTGGGAACTACCCACATATCAGGCCGACCTGTGCCTCATCCTAGATTCAGGGCAAAATAAAGTCAACAGCCTATTAAAAAACAACAACAACAAATACAACTGGTTGCAGCCGCCCCAGATTTCCAGTAAGCAGCCTCAATAAAGATGCATCCAGGCGGGGCCCACCTGCTCTCGACCAAGGACATCCACGGTCTCAGGAGTGAGGACTGCAGCGGCCTGGATGCTGGCTGCTCCTTAGGCTGGGTGATGCTCCCAGACAACCCCCTTGGGTTCCTCTCTCAGGAAACTGCAGTAACATGCCCAGCTCCTGCTGCTCTGGGTCTATGAGTTTTCAGTGATTTAACGGTCTTGCTCTCTCATGAAATCTGGTCTCTCAACTGGAAACCTATGGCCTTATTCTGAGTTAAGACCCAAGCAATGTATCTGAGGTTGTACCCACACCTCCACCCTTGGAGAGGGCCCCAGATCAGCAGCACGCTAAGAATGCACACAGATACACTGTGTGTATCTGTGGCCACTGATGCCCTGACTGACATCCCTATCTCCTCTCACTTCTCACTGCCTTCCTGTTAGGTGGCCTGATGGCACTATTTTAGGGGAGCACCCCAAATTCCTGACTCCCTCTTGACTGGTGTGCAGCAGGTCCTATCCCTTGCCTGGGAATGAACATAAAACAAAATGCTCCCACCCAGATGGAAATTCCCTTCACCTCCCTAAAAAGCACTTTTTATATTGTAAGCTTAACTGTCTCCCATGCCAGAGTCCGCAATCTCCTAAGGCACTGCCTTACTGCTGGTCACACACAGGCATTCATCCTAGCTCACACTGAGCAAAAGTCATCTTGGACTTTGTTGCAATAGCCCCAGTTCTGAATTCTTGGGCTTCACAGAAACCAACTGCCTACTCTTCTACATGGCAGTTCTTATCTAGGAGTTCCAATTTTTTTCCAAAATTGTGGGGAATGTGGGAGGGGTCTTAGCCACACACTGACAGGCTAGAAAGAATGAGAGGTGTTAGCATCCAGAACTTCCACATAAAGTTCCTTCCAGTCCTGTTCTCTTCCAGTCATGCTCAGACTTAAACAAACGAGCTCCCAGGAAAGGAAGGTAAAGACAGAGAAGGAGGTGGGGAAGAGGCTGCAATAGCACCCAGCCCTCACAGGACAGAATGCCAGGGGAGGACAGGCTCTCGACCCACACAGGGTCTGTTTCTGCCTGTGGCGGGCAGAGAACGGGCACAGATGCTTGTGGGACGCCGTCTGTGATCACACTCGGAAAGAATCAAGTGGTTAACCAGAGGGAATGGATTCCAAGACCTGCCAGGATGGTGGGTTTTTTGTTTTTCTAGATTACGCCTAAGGTTTGTAGTTTGGACAGGCAAAGTAAACAATGACAATGACAGCAGCAACAAAACAGGAACAAAGAACAGTTTACTTGTTTTTTGTGTTTTTAAAAACAAGTCTTTTGTTAAAAGAAAGCTCCATGCGGACTTGGAAGCTGCGTCTGAGACTCCCCTACCAGGGGCGGACTGTATCGTGACAAATGAAGCTAGTGTGAAGAAAACAAACTCTAGCAGACGTGGAGCCACACATGCGGGAGAGTGGCTTTCCCATCTTGTCTCCCCAGCCCCGTTTCTGGAAAACGTGGAGAAAGGGATGGGAAGGGCAGGGTTTGAACTGGCGTAAAGCAACTGTATTTAGACCATGGCAAACTGAGCTACTTCTCCCTCCCTTCAGCCCGAAGTGAACCGACAAGCACAAGACTGGGTCAGCACGTACCTGAAAGAAACCCGGTGGGATGGGGCCTCCTGGCATCCCATCGTTGGGGGGAATGTTGCCAAGCACGGGGCTCGGAGCGGCGGCTGCGCTCTGTGGAGACAGGAAGGTGGATGGTTAGAGGCCACATCCATAGCCAGAGAGGAAGTTACGACCTGTCGCCCAGCATCACCCAATTCTCAGGTTGGCCCACCTTCTCCTTTCCCCAGCCCTTCAGCCTGAGAGTCATCTAGCAGCTCGGATAGTACAGACATCGGTTTAAAAACCAGAGTTGGATTCAACTCCCAACTACGCCACTTATTGGGTACTCTGAGCCTCCATTTCCTCATCTCTAAAATGGGGAGCAATGTCTACCTTCACTGTGGCTCTAAGCACAGCTTGATTTGAAGCCATTCAGACAGTGAAGAGATAGGTGGTTTCTAGGGGGACAGGAAGAACAGAGGGGGCACAGGGCATTTTTAGGGCAGTGCAGCTCTTCTGGAGGAGACTGTTATGGATACATGGCATTCAGCATTTGTCAGGGTGGTGCTGCTGGTTAATATGCTGTTTGGCAAGGTCAGTGGGCCAAGATCACCAGCTATTCCTTGGAAACCCTATACAGTGTCCATATGAGTTGAAACCTACTGGACGGCACTTAATAGGAGAGCGATACAACACGAGAGCGATACAACACGAAGAGTGAACACTGAAGCAAGCTAGAAACTTTAAAGGTCTGGTGATCTACTTCCAAAAAAATCAGCCACTGAAAACTCCATGGAGCATAGTTCTACTCAGACACCCATGAGATGGAATCAACTCAACAGTAACTCACAGTATAGATTATGTACGTTAGGATGCCATGACTACTTTATTAAGCTTGTTGAGGGTGGGTGAGGAGATTTAAGATTTATATGTACGGGTTATTAACCAAAAGGTTCGCAATTCGCACCCATCAGCTATTCTTTGGGAGAAAATGGGGCAGTTATATGCTCTCTTCAGGAGGCCAGCACATGTTGTATAGAGCAATAACAAAACAAAACAAAAAACAGTTACCACACCAAGTGGATTCTGGCTCATGGCGACCCCACGTGTGTCAAGAGTAAAAGTGTGCGCCAGAAGGTTTTCACTGGCTAATTTTTTGGAAGTAGAGCACCAGGTCTTTCTTCTGAGGTACTACTTAAGTGGACTCAAACCTCTGATCTTTCTGTGACTTGCCCAGTGTTTAACCATTTGTGTCACCCAGGGCCTCCTACATAGAGCAGATTATCGATAAATGTCCCTGATGCAACTAGTCAGCAGAGTCCCATCTAAACACCCATGATGGGTGAGGGAGGGGCAGAGTGTATGTTGGCCCCTTCAGTGCCCTGGGTGCTCCTGTAGAAGATGAGGCTGGCTGGCAGAGCTGGGGGGTCTGTCACTATTTTTATTTTTAAAGGCTGCTATTCTGACATTTACCTGGCACATCTGCCTCAACAAGAACCTCCCAGGGGTGAGCAGACGCTGCTCTCCAGGCTGGCCTCCTTCCAGACAATCTGTGTCCAACCTGTTCATGCAGTCGGCATGTCTGTGCCTGGCCCAGTGCATGCAGGCAGGTGAGGCTGAGAGAGGCTCAGCCAGAGAGCCTACGGGGGAAGGGGGAGCAAGTGGGGGGTGCCTGGTCCCTGCTTTGCTCCACTGATTCTACACCTCCAGGTCCTCCTCCTGCGGAAATACCACCTCAACCCTCAACCACGGTACTGCCTGCTCCGCCCTGCCATGACTGAGAATCTGAAACTTCATCCTCAGGGTCAGGGATAACCTCTTATAATCACAGCCTCCCCCTCCATCACCACCCTCAAGAAGTCACTTCTTCCTTTTCCTCAGCCATAAAGCAGGGGCCAGAACGCTGAACTTTTCATTTGGACAGAAGGAAATGAGATAAGGTATGGGACCCACTGACACATCATGTGCAGCAAAGGTGGAAGGAATGAAGGTGTGCGTGCACCTGGGTTCAAGTGCTGCCACCTGCATTAGCAGGTGGGATGGCTGTGGACAAGACATGTGCTCTGCCTGAGTTATGTTTCCTTTACAAAGGACGGTAGGGACAGCTGTTGCTCCATCTTCTGGTCAGATTGTGGAAATGACAGAATGGGCTGTTTTGTCAATCAGGAAAGCTCTGTGAAATCTAGAGACAGGGAGAAACCAAACCCCACACCAGCTGTCATCAAGGCGATTCCAACTGATGGCTCCATAGGGTTTTCAATGGCGGAGTTTTGGGAAGCAGAACACCGGTCCTTCCTAGGGTGGGTCTGAACTGCCATTCTTTCAACTAGCAGTCAAGTTTTTACCACTTTCACCTGGGTTTAGCACACCCCAGATACAGGGAATGGGAATGGAGGATGGACTGGCCACAACATTACCTCTGGAAATGTTCTGCCTCTAGGAATCAACCCTCTCTGTGATTAGAGCAATTCGCCAGCCATCCATCTAAACACATCTAATGTGTTTACAAGTTCCACACATCACACATTCTTAGTCTCCCCACCCCAGCAGAAGGTTAGGAGGCCCAGGTTTGAGGTGACAGCCCCACACAGAAGGAAAGCCACACAGCCTCTGCTAGCCAAGCCCTGCCTCACCCCTTCCCCAGCGTTACTGGGGAGAAGGGCAGCCAGAGGGAATCCGCCAGGTAATCCATTAGCTGCATGGTTGTTTGTTTGCGGTTGGTGGTTCAGTGAAAATGCAACTTTTTATAATTTACAGCTAACAATTACTCCTTGGCAGCAGTAGCAGAAAACTTAAAAAAAAGAAAAAAAGGGGGGGGGGCACAGAATGAGATAATATATCCATCTATATTTTATTCAGATTCCTTCAGAGATTGGTTTTCCACTTAACTCTTTAACCCTCAGGAACTCTTTTGGGGAAAAGTGTGGATTCTACTCCTCAAAATTGTCAATTACCCCAGTACAATTTTCACTCACTCATTTGAAATGTCAACTTTATCAACCACCAGTCTCACAAATGCTTGGGTCTGTGTCTGAGCTTTCATTGTTCTGTCCCGTGTCTCTAACAAAAGGTGTGCAGGTGGCATAATGGTTAACTGCTTGGCTACCAACCAAAAAGTTAGCAGTTCGCATTTACCCAGCCACTTAGAGGGGGAAAAGACCTGGTGATGTGCTTCCCTAGACATGATTGTTCTGTGCCACTGAGTCGGTTCTGATTCATAGGGACCCTGTATAGGGTTTCCAAGGCTGTAAATCTTTACAAGAGCAGAAAGCCTCATCTTTCTTCTGTAGAGCAGCTGGTGGATTTGAACTGCTGACCTGTGGTTACTAACTCTACAGCTCTATCAGTGCACATTCCATAAAGATTACAACCTAGAAAACACTATGGTGCAGTCCTTCTGTCACATGGGTTACTATGAGTCAAAATTGACTCCACAGCACCTAACAAATGTGTCTCTAATACTCCATTCTAACGAGTCTTATAATGTACTTATATTTTATTTTCACCCTCATTTGTAAATTAGACGTTTTCTGCCTGGCCCTCCGAACTTCAGATAATTTATAAAAATCACTTCGTCACCAAGAGAAAAAAAGTTCTTATATATAAATTTATAAGATTTATATTTGTATGGGTGGACCGATGAGTGATTAGAAACAGGTGCGGAGTAGGCTATGAATTTAAGGAAACCAAATCCTCTCTTCTCATATGAAATGTTTTATTTGGTAAATGTAGCTGGTACCTACTTGAACTGTTCTTGGGATTAAGCTGAGAAAGATGGCGCGCTGTGAGCATGGTGTGAGAAGTGTGTGATGGAAGGCCAGGCTTGGATGGTACGAACAGAGGGAACCGCCGTGCCTGATGGTCAGAAATGTACCAAGGCACACCCCTCTCTCTCTGGCGCCCCATGTGACCTTCTGAGACAGAAACAAGTACCCCACTTTACAAATGAGGAAACAAATGTGTGTGTGAAGAACAGGCTCAACATGATACCTTTCCCACTCTTCTTCCTCAGAGAATCAAGACCTATTTCTTCTCAGCCTTCAGTCCAGAAAAAAATACTTGTTTTTTCCAATTCAGTAACATTGATTACAGTTTTCATATAGTAGAACCATCATTGCTATCCTTTTCCAAATTATTCCACCATCACTAACACAAACTCAATGCCCACTAAAATGTCTTGATTTTGAAGAAAAATATGAAAAGCTTCACCACTTTCATTTTTTAAGTTAGCATTTATTGTTTGGTATAAGACATTTCCCTATTATTAAAAAAAATTGAAGTAGAAAAAAAAATGATTATATTTTGATAAGGTCATAAGTCTCCTATCTCCCATTAAATGGTCACAGAAAACACAATTTTAAAAAATACACTATATATGTGTAATATTCCTGGTGTGGTGCTATAGGATAAACACTGAATTGTGAACCACAAGGTCGGAAAACTGACCAGCTGCTCCATGGAATCTCTGTACAGGGTTTGCTATGAGTTGGAATCACAGTGGATTGCACTTAACAATATTATATAGACAAATTATTTACCAACTCAATCTAGTCCTGGTGTAACGCTGCAGGATAATGCAGGTGAGTTTGAGCCACAAGGTCAGCGGTTCAAGCCCATCGTCTGCTCTTTAGAAATCCTATGCAGGTCACTATGAGTCTGAACTGAGTCGACAGCACTGATCCAGTCTGTTGAGTCGATTCAGACTCATGGTGACCCCACGTGTCAGAGTAGAAGTGTGCTACATAAGATTTTCAATGGCTGATTTTTGGAAAGTAGACTGCCAAACCTTTTATCTGAGGCACCTCTGGGTGGATTTTTGGTTAGCAGCCAAGTACATTAACCTTTTGCATTACCCAGAGAGTCTAACAAACTTAGTAACAGGTATTGGTGTTGGGTAATTTGGTGGTTAAATGAAGAAAAGACTGAAGTTGTCACATGCATCATTTGCTTGGACTCACAACACTCATGGAAACAGCAGTCAAGAAATCAAAGGATGTAGTACATCACAAGGCCTCTTTAAAGTGTTCAAGAGCAAAGATGTCAGTTTGAGGACAAACGTGTGCCTGACTCAAGCCATGGTACTTTCAGTTGCCTCACATGTATGTCAAAAATGGACAATGAATAAGGAAGAG